TTGAATCAGTGTTTTTGTAACTGAAACAAACTTAGATGTTAAAAAATATACGGTTTAGGTGGATTATTTTGGATATTATATATCCATACGGTTATTCGAATTTATTTGAATTGACAACAATATGGATTAGAATATAATGATTAATTCAGATTGGAAATAATCCGCAAAAATAATATTAAAACCAATTATAATTCGTTCGGATCTAAAACCGATTACTTTTTAATCCGGGCGCAGATTGAACCGATTAAAATCGATTGAAACGAATTACGTTATAATCGGTTTTAATCGAACATTTTAAGCAGGGCAGCAGCAGCTTTTGTGGATACCCTTCTCTTTGTAGAACAAGGCATTAAAGAACCGACGGTCGCTCAAGCTGATTGGGGCGTTGTATCAGGTATGTTCTTTTGTTGACCCAGCCTCCGAGTTATTCCTGGTCAAGAGGGGACATAACCGACGGTTTCTTTTGCCATTTCATCTGTTGCTTTTCTCTTTAGTTATTTCAATGACTGGCGTCAATGATGAGGTATTCCCGACCACTCACAACGTACTCTTTACTAAGCCACCTGCTACGGAGATCCTTGAATCTCAGGATTCTAATTCTGTCTCGGAAACGCAGGCCTTAGTTTCTGAGCTATTCGGGGGAGTTCATGCTCCCGCGGCATCATTCACCTTGGAATCCGGTCGTCCTCAACTCAATCCAGACGGAATCTCGAAGCGGCTTAAACGAGGACTCCCGTACCAGACTGTTGGCGAAATACGAGATAAAGAAGAATCTGGCAGCATTGGCTATTTCTAAGCTGAATAAGGAACTTGCGGCCGCGCTAACCCCTTCAGTAGTCAAGCGCGATGAGTATCAATCGCTTTCACAGGCACTGGTGGGCGCCTGCCTCAATGCCCTTGGCTCAGGCATGTCACTTCTATTAAGACCGGAGGTCTTACAAAGCCTTAACGACGAAGCAAAGTCAGCCCTGACGTTCTTCTCGGATATTTATTTATTGTCCGACCACCATTATCGCCTTTCTCTAGCTAGAAGGACCTTCACTAAACCCTCCTTAAACATCATTGGTAAGAATGCCGCGGACTCTGCTTCCATCGATGAGTTTTTGTTTGGGCAGAATTTCGCCGAGACTCTCAAGACAGCGCAGGCGTGTGAGAAAACTGGTCGTGAGTTAGCTAGATCTGCACCTCAGGTGGGGAAAAAGACGTTACAACGTCAGGCAACTCAGCCGCGAAACCAGCCCGCTCCGGTCAGATCAGCTTTTTCGGGAAACCGGAGGCCCCTGTTCGTCCTTCGTCGGCTCGCCAAACAGGAGCTTCCTATTACAAGAGCCACCCCTATCGTTCCCAGTCCCGGTCCCGAACTCGACGCCATCACTAAATAATGTAAGAACCGCCGATCTGCTAAGTAAATTCTACGATCAATGGTCGGATATTACCAATGACCCGCTAGTCTTGGACGCAATACGGGGTTATCGCATTTTACCACTGTGGTCCCAACGAAAGCCTCCTTCTCTAAACCGAAATTTTCTCACGTTAATGCTTCTCTTTGTGACGCGGAGATAGAACGTCTGCGTCTTAAGGGAGCCATCATTCTTGTAGAGCCTTGCGAGGATCAATTTTTATCATCATTTTTTCTTATAGAAAAGTCGTTGGGCGGTAAACGTTTTATTTTAAATTTGCGAGAGTTAAATAAGTATATCGAACCGCCACACTTTAAATTAGAGGACTGGCGGATTGTTATTCGCTTGATGCTCCCAGGAACGCAGATAGCTACTCTCGATCTTGAAGACGCCTATTTATTAGTACCAATCTTCGAGGAGCACAGAAAATTTTTACGTTTTCAGTGGCGCAGAATTACTTATCAATTTACAGTATTGCCTTTTGGCCTTTCTACGGCCCCTTATATATTTACGAAAATTCTCCGTAATTCTCCGTCTTGTAACCACTTATCTGCGTAACAAGGGTTACCAATCTATTGTTTATCTGGACGATTTTCTTCTCTTAGGTTTCTCCATCGACGAGTGCCGTACCAATGTTATTG